GATTTAAGTCAGTGTTGCACATGTCTTGCAGTAATATTACACAAAAAACAAAAAATCCCCGGTTAACAATGAAATAGCTGGAGAGGTAGACACTTATCAAAAGCCATCAAGAGGTAATACAAGGGATCTTTGTAGTGATGGAGCCATCCTATTTCTTGACTGTGGTGATGTCTACACAACTCTATACACGGAAGTAAATACACACACACACACACACACACACACACACACGAGTACATATAAAACTGAGAAACCTCAATAAGGTTGGTGGTTTGTGCCAATTCAAATTATGTCAAGTTCTTGGTGTGACATTAAACTATAATTTTGCAAGATGTTACCACTGAGGGAAACTGGGTGAAAGTACAAGGGACTTCTCTGTACTATTTCTTGCATCTGCACATCAACCTACAATTATTTAAAAGTAGCTCGAGAAAATAAAATAAAATCACAGGATGTTTATCAAAACATTCTTTATATTAGTATATCATTTGAATTGAATTAGATGTTCAGTAATGAGCTAAGTCTATATGACAGTATACTGAGTAATTAAAAATTTCATATTTGTGACATGGAAGGGTGTTCACCATTCAGTAAGCAAAAGCAGCAGCCTTTGTAAAATATGCAAGTGCAATCTAATTTTGTTAAAAAATATATGAGCTCTGGTAGCACAGTGGCTAAGGCACTTGACTGCTAACCAGAAGGCTGGTGGTTCAAACCCACCAGCCACTCCTCGGAAGGAAGATGGGGCAACCTACTTCCGTAGTGATATCGCCTTGGAAACCCAAGGAGGGGTCGCTATGAGTCGGATCCGACTCGATGGCACATAACAACAACAACAACAACATATAATAAAAAGCATTTTTAAGGGGACACATCAAAATGCCATCAGGGTCTATCTCTGTCAGGAACAGTCATGGGTGATTTGTTTTTTTGTTTTGTTTTTTCTTATTTCCTTATTGTTATTCTCTAAAGTGAACAAGTATTACTCAAACACCTGTCTAAATGGCTATCTATCCTGTGCAAAGGGGTCAGGGCAATTTTGTGTAGCTCTGGAGCCAAAATGAAGACAAGCAGGAAAATTACATGGAAAGAGATTTCAGTTCAACATAGGAAGCATGAGCTACCTGCAAAAGCCATGGAGCAGGAAACACCACGTTTTGAGGCCCTGGCCTCCAACAGGAATGGTATTCCCAGGGGCCTAGTAAATGCCTTATAAGTAATTATGTGAACAGCTGTCAGGCTTCTAAAAGTCAGTGCCATTTGACCATGTGTGTGCATGCACGTGTGTGTGTGATTAGAATGTGCAACGGGTTTAACAGATACACCTCATTTTAAAAACCTTTTATGTTTCAAACCACTTTCACATATGCAGTTTCATGTTCATCCAGTCTCCCCCCCCCCCAATCCTGTCCCTGCAACAATTCTGTAGAGTAGGCAGAGCAGGTATTATTACCTCCATTTTATTGATGAGAAAACTGAGGCAACCAGACAGTTAGCTCCTATAATGTCACAAAAACTAAAAAAAAAAGAACAACAACAAAAAAAAAAACTCACTGCTGTCGAGTCGGATCCGACTCATAGTGACCCCTCTTTGGGTTTCCAAGGTGGTATCACTACGGAAGTAGATTGCCCAACCTTCCTTCCAAGGAGTAGCTGGTAGGTTTGAACCCCTAGCCTTCTGGTAAGTAGTCAAATGCCTTAGGCACAAGACCACCAGAGCTCCTGTCACAGGGTGAGGGAAAAGATGAGATGCCATCTCTTTTATCTTGATTCATGGTTCCACCCCTATTTCTTTTGATACCACACAGCCTTTCCCTTCCCACCAGGCAAGCTAAATGTCATGGATTGAATTATATGCCCCCAAAATATGAATTGGAATCCTAACCTCTGTACTGGCAGATGGAATCCTATTTAGGAATGTAGTTTTGTTATGTGAATGAGGCCGTAGCAGTGCTGGGTATGTCCTAAACCTAATCATGTCCGAGCTATAAGGAGCAGCACAGATACAGAGCCAAGGAAGCACAAATGGGGAGAAGAGAGATGGCCACATGAAGATACCCAAGGCCCTGAGTAACACTGGGGCTACAGAAGCTGGAAGAAATAAGCATCTTCCCCTAGAGCCAACAGAGAGAGCCTTCCCATGGAGCTGATACCTGCATTGGGACTTCTAGCTCCCTGAACTGTGAGAAAATGAATTTCTCTTCTTTAAAGCCACTCACTCGTGGTATGTGTGTTACAGAAGTACTAGCTAATTAAGACACTGGGTAAACCTGGGCTAAAGTTTTTACTGGGTAAAACTGACATGATACCTGCCAGTTGAATGAAAAACCAACAACACTTAGGCACAAGGTAATAAATCTTGACAATGACATTACCTATCTAATTGATCCCACTAACGATGCTGACTTAGTCAATATCAAGTAACAAATAACTGGTCAACTCAGCTTAAAAATCAAGATCAGTCAAACCAGTGAGTTGATTTGAATGTCTCCAGAGGCTGATGAACAATCTAATTAGGATTTCAGTCAATACAACTGCCCTGTACCTGTGTCCTCCATAGTCCCAGGGAAGGAGCCCGTAAGTCGAAGCTTCTGGGTCAGTTAAATAGTGAATAGGGTTCAGACTGGGCTTAATGAAGCAGGGCTTTGTTACCTTTTACCAAAGGAATTGACAGAGGAATTTTGTATTTATTTTGCAGTGGCAGCAGATTAAGCACTTCAGCAATAATGTGGCAATTTACCAAAAGAGGTCTTAGTTAGTGCTATCTGAAATCATAAAATTAAGTGGGAAAACATACACGTGAAAAAGGTTTATATGTTTTAGAAAAATAAATCCAAATTTTAGATAAATGATACTCTTCACAAAGTATACTAAACAAATGACATATTTTCATTGGCTGATACATCATTTTCCCTGTGCCAAGCCCTCCGCTGAGTGCCTCTCTCTTCACAATCACCCCCACACGAGTCAGCACAGGATGAAACTGGAGGGTCAGCCGGGTAAGGTGACTGTCCCCATCTCACAACCACCAAATGAAAGCAACAAGAGTCCGACTAGGGTCTGATGGATACAAAACCAGGAAGTTCTACCATTACGAGTCCTCTCAAAAGGATGAAAGTATATGCTTTTTTTATAAACAGGAAGTAATGAAAGTTTCTTTATAATGGCATAATAAATCACTTCACGAGATGTAGAGTTAACTTGGGAACAGCTGGGGAACAATGAGAAAAACTAGGTTTAACCTGACATATAACAGCATACAATAAGGCAACAGAAGGTTAGGCAAATAGAAAAGAATAAATGTTGGTAGAAACAATGTACTAGTATTGATAATACACCTCTGGTAACAATTTACTGATTATTGATCAAGGTGATAACGTCACAGGCACTTGGAATATTTTTATTCTTCCCACCACATCTACCCACTTCCACTGAGTTGATTCCAACTCACAGTGACTCTTTAGGACAGAGTAGGAGTGTTTCCAAGACTATAAATCTTTATGGAAGCAAACCGCCTTATCTTTCTCCCATGGAGTCAATGGTGGGTTTGAACCACTGACTTTTTAGTTAGTAGCTGAATGCTTGACCCACTATGCCACAAATACAACCTATAGGATTTAATCTACTCATTCATTCAACAATTATTGAGCACCTACCATATGCCAGGCACTGCTATAGGCAGTGTGACTACTACAGTGACTCAAACAGTCAAAAGCTCTGGACTTGGTGGAGTTCACATAAGCTTCAATGAGAAAACGAGGTAGGAGAAAGGGAACCTGAGGTAGAAGACTCTGGTGTTAATCATGGCCAATGCTCTTAAGTAAATTACTTAAAATCTGCATTTCAGTTCTCTCACCTCTAAGCTGAGGATAACAATACTTGTTTTTATTACAGCACCCTTCTTTTTAGGAAACATGGAAGTTTATATGTGAGAAAAACTTGGAGAAACTGAGGTAGTTGACAAGGAGTAAAATTTTTCCCTCATTATTAAAACCTTCAAAACATTTCATTCCATTTTTCCATGATCTAAGCTTTCTTGGTTTAATGTTAACCATGTGTAAGGCTTGCCAGGTCAGAATAAGGTCATTCTTCCATACTTAGCCACAATTTCAAAGTCTCTGTTACAGGCTTAAGATACCACAATTATGTACGTTTCCCCTTATTGTGGAAGGAAGTTGGATTTAAATTATATCTTAGTGATTATTTCATTTTATAACTTATAAGAGAAAAATGCTGCTTCTAGTTCTTTAGAAACAGATATATAGCAACTGATTATTTCTAGAATCTTTGTGTAATTTTCTTTCCTAGGTTATACTCTGGTATTATTTCGTTTTCAGAATGAAATAATGGCTAGGTGAGTATGGGTACATCATAGAACCACAGGAAGGACCATTTCTCAGTACACAGCTGCACTTTATTGATTAAATAGAGAAAATTATTGGTTCTAGCCCTCCCCTTTACCTACCCTACCCCGGGGGGGATTTCCAAGCCTATTTTTATCAGTCCAGCAAATCAGAGAACTGCATTCTCAACCGAGAGGTGCCAACCTGGAGTCTCCATGAAAGGCAGCACAAGCCAGGCATTGTGCACAAGTGAAAAGAACATAATTAGCAAAGTTATAGCCACAATTAGGAAATACCTCCTTAGAAAAGTTTCCACTTAACTCTGAGAAGTGCTCAAATTACCATTGTGCTTAAGGAGGCCTCTGTCTCTTGGTCAGCTCAGACCTTTGAGACAGATCTGGGAATAGCATCCTTGTGCGCAAAACAGAGACACATAAAAATTAAAGCTTGATATATTTTTTAAAAAAATAACAAACACAGATAAAATGGACAAATTGATCCACTGAAGTTATAATGAAAGAAATAAGAAACATAATTTTGGAAATAACTAGTCAAGTGTTAGTGAAACCATTCCTTTACTGAACTCCCTCTCTCCCCTTACCACCACCAAAGAGAGGTTAGAGAGGAGAGACAAAGAAAATAATGATGAGTACTCACTTCATCTCCAGGATCTCCTCCAGCTGTTTCCTTCTCTCTATCCGAAGATTGGCCAAATGTGCTTCTTTTTCAGCCAGGGACTGCTGTGTTGAGGCAAGGCGTGCTTTGGTAGCATCTAGTTCTTGTCTGGTCTTCTCTAGTGCATTCATCAGTTCTTCTATCTGAAAGGCACATGCAACTCAGTGTGTTATTTTTCCTTCATTCAAGTACAAGGCATTCCTTGCTCACCTGTGTCCTAGCAGTAAACACACAGAGATCATAGTATCTTGGAACCCATTCTTTCTTTGTCACTGATTAAAAATAAATGTCTTAAACACAAGAAATATGCACATTCCTCCAAGGTCTTCATTCAATTGGATTGCCTAATAACTTTCATAGAAATTGGGAGGTGAGTGGCTTGACCCAATTTCAACCTGTACTTGGCAAAAATCTCAAATACTTCCTCACAGTTGGTGGAAGGCAACACTCAAAACACATTTTGCCCAGTACAATTTACTTTTGTTTGTAGGCCTCGGAATATGCAGACAGAAACTTAATCTATGTGTTTCAAATCCATTCATGTTTTAAGCTATCAAAACCTTCTTTGGAAAAAGTGATTTGATGTCCAAGGGGCCTCAGGAGTCCCCTCTCACCTCACCTCCCTGCCTTAGATTCAGGAAACAAGGTTTGGCCAAAGGTAAATAGAATTTCAGCCACAAAAGGTTCAAGTTTGATTTGCCCCTTAAGTTTGAGAAGGTTCTAAACTGGAAATAAATGACATGTAACTTTTATAGGGTGCTAATACACCATAGAAATATGCCAGACTATGAAATAACCAGGGTTTTCAGCTAGGTCCCAAAAATTGGAACAGAGAGCCCCAAGCAAGGCCTTATGCTTCCTAAACCATTGGAGGCCTTTGAAAGTCAGGGCACGACAAAGAGGGTTGGTGTTTATGGTTCTGTTCCAATGACTTCCGTGGAGCAACCTGGGGAAATGCTATTCTTCATACACAGCAGGCTGAATTCACCCTACCCATTCAAAAGCGTGGTTCCAGGAAGTTTCTAGATTCCACAGCTGATGTTTGGATTTCTAAGTCACCCCTTCCAGCTGAACTTGGCAGAATGGGTTCATCCATCACTAAAGTCAACAGAACGCCCTTCAAAATGTGTCAATGACATGTTAAGTTCCAAATCATAAAGACTTTCTACACAATTTATGTAGTTTTACATGGAATTTATTCAGCATAAGTATTATAGTTCACATCCAAGGTAAATTACATGCTTTTAAGATTCAGAAACCCCTCCATTTTTTTTTTCCTGATAAAAAGAAGAAATTTAATGGCCATGTAATGTAATGTAAATCAAAGGCAAAACCAAAGAGTTTAAAAAGTAAGGAATAGAAAGAATAACCTATTCAACTCACAGAACCACACCTGTTTAACAAGTCAGCATTATTCTCTAATGTTATAAGTATATGGAATCCTAAAAAGCAGTCATACACTTTTTAGTTTCTCATATAAATTCACAGGATGCCACAAATATAAGGAGAAGCTCTTCTAAGAAGCAATACCTAATGAAGCTGAAGACTTTTTCTTACCCCCTCCCCAATTTTGATGCACTCAATAAAAAATTAAAACCAAATCCATTCCTGTCGGGTCAATTCTGACTCTCGGTGACCCAATGTGTTACAGAGTAAACCAGATTCATAGGGTTTTCCTGGTTGTAATCTTTACAAAAGCAGATTACCAAGTCTTTGTTCTGTGGAGCTTCTATGTGGGTTTGAACTTCAACCTTTAGCTGAGTAGTCGAGTGCTAACCACTTAATAGTGGTGTCAAAAAAGATCAGCATCATGGCCATTCCAAGTGCCAAGTCAGACACAGTCAGGATTGCCCTCCATATGGGGTGGCCTATGTTCTGATGACCCTTTTACCTACCAGAAATTGGTGTTTATTTCAAAAGTACTACTGATCTCAGAGGAGGGAATCTCTAGGATTCTCCTCTCCTGACTCACTCATTAACTGAACCCATTCTGTCTGCAATCTACAGACACAGAGCTACTCACAGCGTTTCCAAGTTCTGAGTTCACCTGTCACCTGACTGACTGGAGTAGATACCACCCAGTTTACATTAGCCCAACTTTAACAATTATACTTTACAATAAAGTATATTGCAGGCTGTGCCAATTATTTAGCAATAACCACAAGGAGAGATCTCCAAACCCAATAACCAAGCCCACTGCCATCAAGTTAATTCAGACTCATAGTGCTCCTATAGGACAGTGCAGAACTGCCCCATAGGATTTCCAAGGCTGTAAATCTTTACAGAAGCAGACTCCCTCATCTTTCTCCTATGAAGTATCTGGTAGGTTCAAACTACTGACCTTCTGGTTAGGAGCCACTATACCACCAGAGAAATATAATCCAGGATGCTATTGACTCCAACATTGACAATTCCTAATATTGGGTGAGACTGCTATTCTCAACACCTTGGAAACAGAGTTTTTAAATAGCTTCCCAGGCCACAAAAAAAGTCTTCCACAAGCTCTCATTCCTCACAATTCATGTAAGCCTAGTGAGTGGTATACCCTGAGGGCCACATGGGGACAGTGGCCTCAGATACCCCAGTCAAATCTTAGTATGAGCACTGTCTCTTTCTGTAACTTTGTTTAAATAACCACTTAGTTCTTGGAGTCTCAGTTTCCTCACCTATAAATTGAGGGGCTGAACTAGTTGATGCCATAGTACCTCCTATGTACATTCTACAGTTCTGCAAACTGTTTCCTTTGCTACCAGAACCCACTGCCATCAAGTTGATTCTGACTCATAGTGACCCCCATCGGGTTTTGAAGGCTGTAAATCTTTACCAAGGTAGATTGCCTTATTTTCCTCCCATGGAGCACTTGGTGGGTTTGAACGTTCTGGTTAGCAGCAAATGTCTTCTACACTATAGCACTGAACAGGAGCATTAAAAAGCAATAGAAGTCTTCCCTGCTGTAATGATCATTAGCATGGTTCACAGCATTCCAATTCTCCTTATGGGCACGTGGGAGGCATACCTTTTAAATTAGGGGTGGCTTGGACCAATAAAATGACTGCCATTTCCAGGTAGAAGCGTTTAGGTGCTAGTGCTCAACTCCATCCTCCCTTTCCCCCGGCAACTGCAGAAGACTGTGTCAAGATGATGTCTCCATCAGTCCAAGCCCTTGAGAGATGACAATGAGGCCCAATGCCAACCCACATCAGATGAGCAGGAAATAAAGCTTTGTAGGTCTACCCCATTGAGATTATAGGGCTGTTTGCTACTCTAAAATAATCTAGTCCATCTTGACTGGTGGACTGTCAAACATTTTATCAAGTGCTGTACACATGCTTCTGTTTCCCCACAAGTCCCCCTCTATTTCTCTTAGAAACTCTATTCTTAAATGTCCAGGTAACTTCCTTCTCTCCTGTTTTTTTTTCCTTTTGAAATGTGGAGTTTGCATAGCTAAACAGTCCCTCAATATCTTCTGTCCCTTCTTTGAAGTATCATTTTAACTGTTATGTACATGCTGTTTGTGGTTTAAACAAACAAACAAAAAACAGATTAGAATCATGGCTCTATCACTTACTAATTATGTGATTGAAACACATCCCTCCATCTCTTTCAGCTTCAGTTTTCTCATCTGTTGCTTACCCTATTAGATTTTTGTGAGCATTAAATGAGATGACCTAGCCCATTAATTCTTCTTTTTTTAATTGCTGCCAAAAAGTAACTTTTTTTTTTCTGATAATAAGAATAAACTTCATTTATTGTACAGAATCTGAAAGACACAGATACAATCATTTTTTAAAAATTGTCTTTTCATTTATGATTAAGTAATAACATTTCTTTTTAGGGACGATTACTCCCAATCTTACCACCGGGGGATAAATATTGTAAATGGTTTGTTACAATATCATCATCTCTCTCTCTCTCTCTCTCTCTCTCTTTATATATATATATATATATATATATATATATATATATATATATATATACACACACACACACACACACACACACATATATATGCATAACTGAGATGCTATATATAAATATATACACACAGATATATAATCTAGCAAAACTTTTTAATTAATATATCTTAAGCATTTTCTCTTTGTCATTGAACAGTTTTTTTGAAATACAGTTTAATGGTGAATGGTGCTATACACACTCATTGTTTTCCTGAAACTGAACCTTCTTTTAAGTTCTCTAAAGCTTTACTCTCCAAGCTGTAGTCTGATTGAGTACACCTTTCCCTTGTTGCTTTTGAAAGTTCTTTGTCTTCTTGCAGTCCATAATTAGGTCCTTCCCCTTATGACCCTGTCCTAGAGATATTTTCTTCATCCACATAAATCCTCAGGTGATGGACTGAGGTTGTCTCCCCATCTCTGACCTCTATGTGGATACTTCTCCAACCTCTCTCTCTCTTTTTATTCATTTGACCTCTTTCACATGTATGTAACCACCTGTGGTTCCTTTTGGAAGGAGCTTTGGTGGCTTAACAGTTAAGCACCTGGCTATGAACCAAAAGGTTGGTGATTTGAAGACACCCAGTGGCTCCACAGGAGAAACACCTGGCCATCTGCTTCTGTAAAGATTACACCTTAAAAACAGATGGGACAGTTCTACTCCATCACATGGGGTCACTATGAGTTGGAATCTACTTGACTGCACCTATAACAAAACAACACAAATTTTAAATTTAGAATGACCAAAAGCAAACTTATGATTTGCACATGGCTGCCTAAACTAAATTCCTACCACTCAGTCTAACACTCCTTATCTGCCACTCCCTATGAAATACACCACTTTGGCCCAATGCTCCAACCTTCTCTTAGTCACCCATGTTTGAAACAGCCTCATTTGGCTTTTTTCTCTCCTTTCTTTTTTATTTTCCACCCATCACCAAGTTCTGCAGCTCTACTATGGAAACACTTCTTGGGTCTATCCTTTCCTTCTATTGGTATATTTACTACTCCAAGGCCAGGTACCTTCCCCTTTCACATATATAGTACTGCAAATAACACATATATGTGTATGCATGTATCTGTATGCATGTATATATGTATGTATATATGTATATATGTAGTTATGTATGTGTAGATACACACACACTCACATTTCTGTCCTTACCCTACCCTAAGTGATGATATGACCT